GATCGTGTGCTTTACGGTAAGTATGGTGGTACGGAGATCAAGCATGAGGGAAAAGATTATCTCATTATGCGTGAATCCGACATTTTTGCCATACTCGGTTAGTCCATTCAATTAGTCCAATCAAAAAATTTAAAATAATAATATAATCATGGCTAAAGAAATAAAATTCAACCTGGAAGCCAGGGATGCCTTGAAAAGAGGGGTAGATCAACTGGCAGATGCAGTGAAAGTAACACTCGGTCCTAAGGGGCGTAACGTAGTTATCGAAAAGTCTTTTGGTTCTCCTATGGTAACCAAAGATGGTGTGTCGGTAGCTAAAGAAATTGAGCTGGAAGACAGGATCGAGAACCTGGGTGCTCAGATGGTAAAAGAAGTAGCCTCTAAGACCGCTGACATCGCTGGTGATGGAACTACTACAGCTACTGTTTTGGCTCAGGCTATCTACAGCCAGGGAATGAAAAACGTAGCGGCTGGTGCCTCACCAATGGACCTTAAGCGTGGTATGGATAAAGCTGTGGAAATGATCGTAGAGAATCTCCGCGGACAGTCTAAAGANNTAAAGAAGTGGGCGACAGTTCTGATAAAATTGAACAAGTAGCTTCAATTTCTGCCAATAATGATAATACCATTGGTAAGCTGATTGCTGAGGCGATGGCCAAAGTGAAGAAAGAAGGTGTAATTACCGTTGAGGAAGCTAAAGGAACTGAAACGTACGTAGATGTAGTGGAAGGTATGCAGTTTGACCGGGGTTATCTCTCGGCCTACTTTGTAACCGATACTGATAAAATGATCGCTGAACTGGAAAATCCTTATATCCTGATTTATGATAAAAAGATCAGTAATATGAAGGAACTTCTGCCTGTTCTTGAGCCAGTGGCGCAAAGCGGAAAACCTCTGTTGATCATTTCAGAAGATCTGGATGGTGAAGCTCTTTCTACCCTGGTGGTAAATAAGATCCGCGGAAGCCTGAAAGTAGCGGCAGTGAAAGCCCCTGGTTTTGGAGACCGCAGAAAAGCTATGTTGGAAGATATCGCTATCCTTACCGGTGGTACAGTAATCTCTGAAGAAAGAGGTTATAAGCTGGAAAACGCTACAGTTGACATGCTGGGTACAGCTGAAAAAGTGACCATTGATAAAGACAATACTACATTGGTAAATGGTGCCGGTTCAGCTGATGATATCAAAGCGCGTGTAAACCAGATCAAAGCACAAATAGAAACGACCACTTCTGACTATGACAAAGAAAAACTACAGGAGCGTCTGGCCAAATTAGCCGGTGGTGTAGCTGTACTTTATGTAGGTGCTGCCTCTGAAGTTGAAATGAAGGAGAAGAAGGACCGTGTGGATGATGCTCTGGCGGCTACCCGTGCTGCCATTGAAGAAGGCATTGTTCCTGGTGGAGGTGTGGCGCTGGTACGTGCTGCCCTGGCTTTGGTAGGTGCTAAAGGAGATAACGATGACGAAACTACTGGTATGGCTATCATTTCCCGTGCTATTGAAGAACCCTTGCGTCAGATTGTGGAGAATGCCGGACAGGAAGGATCCGTAATTGTTTCTAAGGTAAAAGAAGGTAAAGATGATTTTGGATACAATGCAAAAACCGAGAAATTCGAGAATATGCTGGATTCCGGAATTATTGACCCTACCAAAGTAACACGTGTGGCCCTTGAGAATGCTTCTTCCGTAGCCGGAATGTTGCTTACTACCGAGGCTACCATTACTGAGATACCTAAAGAAGAGAACGGAGCAGGTGGAATGCCTCCCGGTATGGGCGGAGGTATGCCCGGAATGATGTAAAAACCATAACATCAATATAATAGAACCCGGTAGCTCCTGCTGCCGGGTTTTTTTGTGCATATCAGTGTTCAGCCTATATTTGTGAAAACCTAAAACTCCATGATGAAATATCTGGCCTTTGTGCTTTTAATGGGCTTTACCCTTCAGGTAGATGCTCAGCGTTATAGCAACCCCAAATCATACTTCCGTAAATTTCAGAATGAGAACCGTAAACTGCGGATCAAGAATTTACGCTACCAAAAAGCCGCTCTTCGTTCAGCAGATGAAAGGCGGATCGTAAAATATCGGGAGATGGTGCTTAACCAGGCCAAAGAAAGTCAGCAATCGGTAAAGCGTTTAGGCCCTTACCAGGATTATGATATTCTTCAAAAAGAATACATCAATTCTCTTCAAATGTACATTGATGCCTTTGAAAATAATTTTGGCGTAGCGGAAGAGCTCAGTAAGAACCGTTACAACTCGTATGAAGATCTCAAGAAATACTACGAAGCAGTAAACAGGGCAGAAGAGGAAATGCTGGAGGCGGCTTATCGTATTCAGGAAGCAGAAGAGCACTTCGCAAAAAATCATTACCTCACTATTACCCGTGATGAAGAGATGGAGGAAGAATACCGTATGCTGGATGAGGTTACACTCTACAGCCGTGATATGACACTTTCTTTTTTCAGGGTAGATGCGCAGGTGCGTAAATACTTACAGACCATTGAAGCAGGGGGTATGGATAGTTTGAGCACTATTGTGGATGATCTGCGGGCCGCCTATAACGAATCAAAAAAAGAGGTTGAAGAGTATGCTGATTTTGACGGCCGTAAGATGATGTACAATGAAATGCAGGACTATCTGGAAGAAATACAACAGGAGCTGGATGAAAACCTACCCGCTTTGACCGACAATCTGCAGAATAAATTCCTGGATGAGGATGAATATGAAGATACACAGCGTGACCTGAAGCGCTTTGTGAAAAGACATACCTACCGTGAGGAAAGTTTTTTTGAAACCAAAAATGATCTGATAGAGGATTACCTACCCGAGGATTAAACCAATATGCACAGGCTCTTTACTTTGATGTTGCTGACTGTAGCAACATTCATGATGGTATGCTGGGGCTCTTATAGTTATACCTCACACTTTTCAAAAGCTTTTTTAAGTGATGATCTTCGTGATCTTCCTGATCAGAAGGTGGCCCTTATGCTGGGTACTTCTTTCAGAGGCTCCAACGGTACCATAAACCGGTATTTTAAATACCGTTTGGATGCTGCACTGGAACTTTACAAGGCAGGCAAAGTACAGTACATACTGGTAAGTGGTGATAATAGTGAGGAAAATTACAATGAACCACGAGCCATGAGGGATGCCTTGGTGAAGAATGGTGTGCCCGTAGATAAAGTTATTCTGGATTATGCCGGATTCCGCACACTGGACTCTATGGTGCGCGCCAAAGAAGTATTTGGCGTAACAAACGTAATTGTGGTTTCCCAAAAGTTTCACAACGAAAGAGCCATTTACCTCGGCCGTAAAAATGACATTAATGCTTTTGGCTACAACGCCCGGGATGTGGATGGGGCAGAGGGTTCACGGTCAAAGTTCCGGGAAATAGGGGCCCGGGTTAAAATGATGCTGGATATTTATGTGCTTCATACTCAGCCTAAATTTCTGGGAGAACCGGTAATTATTCCTTAATAAGCAACGCCTGCCGGTCTTTTGGCATCTAGTTTTAAAAGACCGATTATGAAAATATCAATTCTCAGTTTACTCGTAGTGATAATGGCAGGCCTGTCCTCTTGTCGCAAGGATAATTCAGATTTATGTATTGATCAGGGCCTGTTAAGCAAAAGCTCTGATGTGTATTGTACGCAAGATTACGATCCGGTATGTGGCTGTGACGGAAAAACCTATTCCAACGATTGTGTGGCTAAATTTCAGAATGGAATAAAGTTTTTTACCGAAGGAGCATGTGGGTGCAAATATCCCTATACCGGAGTAGTAAGAGATTTAACTGGTTTAGATGGCTGTGGCAAGGTAATAGAACTTTCCGGGGGCAAGCGGCTGGAAGTGGCATCCCTGCCGGGAAACTTTAACCTGGTAACCGGTCAGCAGGTGGAATTTGACTATACGGAAAGAACCGATCTGGGTTCTATTTGCATGGTGGGTAAAATAGTTGAGATAAACTGCATCAAAACAGTAGGTTGTAAGCCAGTACACCCTTATCATGTTATGGACACCACTAACACTTTTCAGGATCCCATAACCATCAACTCAGCTACCATATCCAATGATTGTTTATATATCAGCTACAGCCATTCCGGAGGTTGTGTAAATGACCATTCGATCAGGCTGAATAAAGTGGTTCCCTGGTGCGGAACTCCACCCTTACCCCCTACACAGCTTATGTTGCAACATGAATCTTATGGCGATCTATGTCAGGCGTACATCACCCGAACAGAAAGCTACGACCTGACCAGTATACAGGAAGCAGGTAAGAATTCAGTAGAGTTTTTCCTTACCAACCAACAAGGAAGTTTTAATCAGAAGTTCCAGTACAATTATTAAATAAAAGGAATAAATAAAAAGGGAGTATGGTGTTGGTCACAAACACCATACTCCCTTTTTAAGAATTGAACCCAGTTTAAGCAGTAAGGATGCCTTTAACCTGGGTCGAAATGGCTTTGCCATCCGCTTTACCGGCCAGCTCCTTAGAAGCGGTGCCCATAACTTTACCCATGTCCTGAGGTCCCTTGGCGTCTAAACGTATAATCAGTTCCTGTAAATAGACTTTGAGCTCTGCTTCGTCCATTTGCTTGGGCAGAAAAGTTTCGATTACAGTCAGTTGCTCACGCTCTTCTTTGGCCAGGTCTTCACGACCCTGTTGTTCATATATCTCCAAAGAGTCTTTACGCTGCTTTTGCAGGCGTTGTAATAGCTTCAGTTCATCCGCCTCCGAAAGATCAGTACCTCCGCCTTTTTCGGTGTTAGCCATAAGAATGGCAGACTTAATGCTGCGCAGGGCTTCAAGACGTACTTTGTCTTTAGCCTTCATGGCGGCTTTCATTTCTTCGGCTATATTTTGGGATAAACTCATGCTTTTTGGTATTTGAAATCAAAGGTAAGAATAGACGGCTATACCGTACAAACCATCCAGATATAAAAAACCGCCTCTCTGACCAGAACAGAAAGGCGGTTTTTGAAGAAACTATATTTAGATCTTAATCTACGTTATCATGTAAAAAGCTGTTGTTGGTCTTGATCTGGCTGCCGTCCTCACTATCATCAATACTAAACCGGCTTATGCGTCCTTCTTTACTGTATTTTTCATTTTCAATATTTACGCCCTGCCTCTTGTAGGCGGGTTCATTGTCGGTGTCGTCAACAGAAAAAGGATGATTCTTAAACCGATAGTTGAAAGCTTTTAGCTTAGCTCTTCGCTCGTCTGCTTTAAGGCGCATGCCTTCCTCAATCGGGCTGTCTACAGGCGAGACATTGCCGGATGGCCTTGGGTTGTGATCTTGTTTTGATGAGGCTGAAACTTGTTTTATTTCAAAACGCAGGTCCTCATCCTCAACCTCTTCCGGTTTGGGTTTATCGGCTTTTGGCTTTTCCTCTTCACGTTTGCTTCCCGCAGATTTCAGATGTTGCTCCAGGTGGAGGTAGTCTTCCAATGAATAGCGAATGGTTTCTTCAGGCTGTTGCTGCGGTTGCTTTTTAGAAACGGGCTCTTCTGTTTTGGTTTCAGCCTCGGGCTGCTGAGGTATGATTTCCTCTTCCGGTTCTTCCATTTCAAACTCTGCTTCAGGAGCCTTTTCTTCCTCTGTATCACCAATAGAGAAAACCGGTTCCATCTCTTCTGCAGTTTCCTCTTGCGGGGTTTCTGCTTCAGGGGCAGCTGACTCTGCTTCAGTGGGAATATCTTCCTCCAACTCAAAACGGGTGGTTTCTTCCAGCATTATCTCTTCTTCAACATCTGAGGCATGAAGGTCTTCCTGGGGCTTATCGGGATAAATCTCAGCTTCAAAGGGGTCTTCAGTTTCAAAATCAAAGAGATTTACCTGTTCCTTTTTTTTATTTTCTTCTTTTGCACTTTTTGCCAGTTCAGAGCTGATGATATCATCTTCATCATCTGTATCATGCTGAATGGGCTTGTTGTATACAGAGGTGCTTACGGCCTGTTCATCCTCCAGGGTATGCACTACCTTTTGAGGCTCACCACCAATGACCTGCACTTGCTGATCTGCGGCAAATCCCGTGGCCACAATGGTTACGGCTATGTCTTTTCCTAAAGATTCATCTTCACCAATACCCATAATAATATTGGCACTGCCTCCGGCTTCTATCTGAATATGGTCATTGATTTCACCGATTTCATCAATCGTGATCTCTTCCTGCCCGGAAACAATCAGTAAGAGAACATTTTTAGCACCTTTAATATGATTGTCATTAAGCAGGGGGGAATCAAGGGCTGAGGAAATAGCATCACTGGCCCGGGTTTCTCCGGAAGCAGTGGATGACCCCATAATGGCGGTACCACTGTCGGCCAGTACCGTGCGTGCATCACGCAAGTCAATATTGGTCGTATAGTGGTGGGTAATTACTTCAGCAATACCACGGGCAGCTGTGGCTAACACTTCATCAGCTTTGGCAAAGCCAGCTTTAAAGCCCAGGTTCCCATATACCTCCCTTAATTTATTGTTGTTAATAACAATCAAAGAATCAACATTGCTGCGCAGGGCTTCCACACCCCTTTCCGCTTGTTGCTTACGGTTATTCCCTTCAAACAGGAAAGGCATGGTTACAATACCTACGGTAAGCACGCCTAACTCTTTTGCTGTTTTAGCAATTATAGGAGCGGCTCCCGTACCGGTACCACCACCCATCCCAGCGGTGATAAATACCATTTTGGTATTGGTTTCCAATAAGCTTTTAATTTCCTGTATACTTTCCTGTGCAGATTGTTCACCCACCTGTGGGTTGGCTCCGGCTCCCAAACCTTCAGTAAGGGTTACACCAAGCTGTATCTTATTGGGTACAGGGCTGTTGCTAAGAGCCTGAGCATCAGTATTGCATACCGCGAAATCTACACCACGGATACCCATACTAAACATATGATTTACTGCATTACTTCCTCCTCCGCCTACGCCTATCACTTTGATGACAGATGACTGATTTTTAGGTAAGTCAAATGAAATAGTGTCATTTTGATTCTGGTCGCTCATATTCAGCTACGTTTATTATAGATCATCATTTAAAAAGTTACGAAACTTATCTGCCCAGTTTTCCAGAAAACCCTTGCGTTGCTGAGTGGGTTTTTTAGTCTGAGCCGGTTCGTTGTCTTCAGAGTTGTCACTAGTCTGTTCGGTAATATCATCCTCCGGTTTCTGTACCTCGTTTTCAGGAGGCTGCGGTTCGGGGTTCTTTTCCTGTTTGTAGGTTTGAGGGTTGGCGTTGTTAGGGTCAATCACAGCTATTTCATCGGTATGATTCTTATTGACCCCTTTCAGTACCAGCCCCACTGCGGTAGCGTAAACCGGTGAACTGAATTCATCATCGCTCTCACTGGCCAAATGCTCGTTGGGAAATCCAATTCGAGTATCCATACCGGTTACAAACTCTACCAACTGCTTAATATGCTTCAGCTGACTGCCGCCACCGGTAAGCACAATCCCGGCAATTAATTTCTTCTTATTTTCATCGTAGCCATAATTCTTAATTTCCAGGTATACCTGTTCAATAATCTCAACTACACGGGCGTGAATGATCTTGGAGAGATTTTTTAAGGAGATTTCCTTAGGCTCACGTCCCCGTAAACCGGGAATGCTTACAATCTCGTTCTCTTTATTTTCTCCGGGCCAGGCGGATCCGAATTTGATCTTCAGGAGTTCAGCTTGCTTCTCAATAATGGAACAGCCTTCCTTAATGTCTTCAGTAATTACATTGCCTCCAAATGGAATTACTGCGGTGTGACGGATAATACCATCCTTAAAGATGGCTACATCCGTGGTTCCGCCACCAATATCCACCAATACCACACCGGCTTCTTTTTCTTCCTGAGACAGAACAGCTTCGGCTGAAGCCAAAGGTTCAAGAGTGATGTCAGCTACATTCAGGTTGCTGCTTTTTACACAACGACCAATATTTTTTATGGAACTGATCTGGCCTACTACAATGTGGAAGTTAGCTTCCAGGCGACTGCCATACATGCCACGGGGTTCGCGTATTTCGGATTGACCGTCTACTTTATATTCCTGTGGGAGCACATGGATGATCTCCTCACCAGGCAGCATCACCAGGTTGTGTACGTTCTGGATGAGGTTGTCAATGTCTTTATCCTCAATCACATCGTCCGAATTCTGACGGATGATATAATCACTATGTTGTAAGCTTCGGATATGCTGACCGGCAATACCCACCACCACGCTCTTAATGGAGAGGCCTGACTCATTTTCGGCTTCTTCAATAGCCAGCTTAATACTCTCTATGGTTTGAGTAATGTTGGTGACCACGCCCCGGTGTACACCCAGTGATTTAGCTTTTCCCATACCCTGGATCTCCAATTTGCCGTACTCATTCTTACGGCCAATCATGGCAACGATCTTGGTGGTTCCTATGTCAAGCCCTACGGCTATTTTGTCGGGATTCATTCGCTAATATTTTCTACAAATTACCTGATCACTATACTTCAGGTTTATCGTTTTAAAACGGTCAATGTTTTCTGCAGTGCCTATATTTTGGTAAAAACTTTTAAGCTTTTTCAGCTTGCTTTCCAGGTCTTCGGGAGTGCCGGCTAATACCGTATGACGACCGGGCCTGGGGTATAAAATCCACTCTCCGTTGGTTTCTATCTTCAGACCGCTGAAGAAATCTCTATAAAATTCATCGGTCTGTAAGTCTTTAAAAAAGTGATACACTTTTTCCCTGGTTTCTGCATTCATTCTACCGGTAACCAGTGGAACCTTTACTGAGAAGCGTGGTGAAAGGGCCATACTGTCACCCTGTTCATCAATGTAAAAAGCTGCTCCTGAGTTTTGTACACGTACAACCGGTTGTTTCTGATATACATCAATCCTCAAACTACCATCCAGCTTCGAATATACCTCTGCTTTACGGATAGAAGGGTGATTATCAAGGCTTTCTTCTAACAGCGGAATGTTAATTTCTTGAAGGAACAAACTGTCAAAAAAGGGGTATTCATCCAGTATCCAGGCCTCTACCTCTTCCTGATTTACAAAGTGATAGCCGCCTGCCTGATCAACATGTATATGAATACCCTTGGTTCTGAGGGTTTTATGTTGGTTGCCGGAAAAAGCAAAAATGACCAGCATTACTATAATCCCACTGCTCCAAAACAATATGTTCTTGAATTTAGCCATTGAGTAAAACCATTTTAAGAGGGTTCACCAATTGGTCTATATCACCGGCACCTATAGTAAGTATGACGTTTTTGCTTAGTTTTTTCTGGCGGAAATGAGTGAGGATGTCCGCTGTGGAAAGGTGTAATTTTTCAATATCACTTATCCGTTCTAATAACATAGTGGAGTTAATACCGGGGATGGGTTTTTCCCGTGCCGGGTAAATATCCATCAGGATCAGCTCATCCAGTTTATTCAGGCTTTCCGCAAAACCATCGGCAAAATCACGGGTGCGTGAATACAAGTGTGGTTGAAAAATACCACTTATGTTATGCTGCGGGTACAACTCCCGTACTGAATTGATCAGGGCATTGATCTCCGTAGGATGATGCGCATAATCATCGATGTATACAAGGTTTTGGGTCTTGATGTGGTATTCAAACCTGCGCTTTACCCCTTTGAAGGTTTCAATACCTTCTTTTACTTCTTCAGGGCTCAGGCCGTATTCAAGAGCGAGGGCTGCCGCTCCGGCAGCATTTTCTACATTATGTCGTCCGGGAAGCCCGCTTTTAATGTTTTCAATGGTTCCCCCTGGTGTTTTTAGGTCAAAGCGGTAGGTGTGTTCTTCAATGCGAATGTTAGTGGCTCTGAAATCAGCGGATTCGGAAAAACCGTATTTCTTGCCAGGCAAGTCCAGCCGTTCTTCAATGAGCGGTGTGTTTTGAATACTGGCAGCAAAATCACGGAAGGTCCGTTCCAGTTCGGCACCGTCTCCGTAAATGTCCAGATGGTCAGCATCCATAGAGGTTACTAAAGCGCCTTCTGGTTTAAGCTGTAAAAAACTACGGTCAAATTCATCGGCTTCGGCAATAAGCAAGCCGGTTTCGTCATTACCACCCCAGAAATTGGTTTGATAGTTAACGGAGATGCCACCCAGAAAAGCAGTTATACTTTTCCCGGCCTGGCGGAATAAATGTGCCAGCAGGGTAGAAGTGGTGGTTTTTCCGTGGGTACCGGCCACCGCCAGGCAGGTATGGGTTTGAGCTATCATACCCAATATTTGCGCCCGTTTGATCAGGGCAAAGTCCTTTTTACGGAAAAATTGCAGCTCGGTATGTTCTTCGGGAATTGCAGGGGTGTAAATAACGGTGGTTTTGGCCTTCTTCCGGAAAATCTGTGGGATTTGTTCCGTATCATCTTCGTAATGAATGGCCATACCTTCTTCTTCCAGCTGCTTGCATAAGGGTGTGCGTACACGGTCATAACCAGCTACTTGCTTGCCCCGGTTTCGGAAATAGCGCGCCAGGGCACTCATGCCAATGCCTCCGATCCCGATCAGGTATATATTATCCTTATCCAGCATTTGGTAGAAGTTTTACTATTTCATCGGCAATATGCTCAGCAGCATCGGGTTTTGCCAATGCCAGTATATTTTTTTCAAGTTTACTTCTGCTACTGTCATCCATGAGTTGCTTCAACTTCTTCCGAAATTCTTTTTCGGGATCCGTTTCGCGAAATATTAGCGCGGCCTCTTTTTCTACCAGCGCCATGGCGTTTTTAGTTTGATGATCTTCTGCCACATTGGGTGAAGGGATCAGTAATGTCGCTTTCTGAAGGACTGCCAGTTCTGAGAGTGTGCCGGCTCCGGCCCGGCTGATCACAGCGTCTGCTATGGCATAGGTTTCCTGCATATTCTGAAGGAAAGCTTTAATCTGCAATTGATCATTTTGTTTTGATCTGTGCTTTTGGATCAGGTTATCGTAATACAGCTTACCGGTTTGCCAGAGCAGGTTCACATTCATTTTCAGAATGTATTCCAGGTTATTTTCAATGAGCTGATTGATTTTACGGGCACCCAGACTTCCACCTAAAACCAGCATGGTTTTCCGGTTGGGGTTTAGCCCTAACTCTTCATAGCAAGCCTGCTTTGACTCTACCTTGCTGTGTACGCTGCTCCGGATGGGGTTTCCTGTGAAAACAATTTTTTCCTTAGGAAAAAAGCGCTCCATCTTGTCATAGGCTACGCAAATCCTTCTTACCCTTGGAGCCAGTAATTTATTGGTGATGCCGGGGTAAGAGTTTTGTTCTTGTATGAGGCAGGGTTTATTTTTTCGAGAGGCCACATACAATAGTGGTCCGCTGGCAAAGCCTCCGGTGCCGATCACTACATCCGGTTTGAATTTTCGGATCAAACCTTGGGAGCGTGCCAGGCTGGAAAATAATTTAAAAGGAAACAGCAGGTTGGAAGCGGTCAACTTACGCTGGATACCACTGATCCATAAACCTTCTATATGGTAGCCGGCCTGAGGTACTCTCTCCATTTCCATGCGGTCGTTTGCGCCTACAAAAAGGAACTTTGCTTTCGGGTAACGTCTTTTGAGTTCGTCTGCAATGGCTACGGCCGGAAAAATATGTCCTCCCGTACCGCCTCCGCTTATCATGAATCTATATTCAGGCATGGGCAAAGCTATTAGCAGATTGAACATTCACTTCCTCATCGCTTTCTTCAGGAATGCCACGGCTCACGCTGAGTATAATCCCAATGGCTACACAAGTCATCCAGATGGAAGATCCACCTGCGCTGATCAATGGCAGGGTCTGCCCGGTAACGGGGAAGAGGTTTACAGCTACCCCCAGGTTTACAAAGGCCTGAACGATAATTCCCAACCCTGTTCCCAAGGCTACAAGGGTGCCAAATTTAGTGGGTGCTTTTGTGGCGATAATGAGGATGCGTATCATAAAAAGGACGTAAAAGAAAACGACCAGTACGCCTCCGATCAATCCAAACTCTTCCACAATTACAGCGTAAATGAAATCGGAATTGGATTGGGGTAAAAAGTTTTTCTGTACACTTTTGCCGGGTCCTTTACCAATAAGCTGTCCTTCTGCAATGGCCATTTTGGCTTTGTGCACCTGGTAATTTTCGTTTTTATCGCCACTGCTGTAATTCTCGATCCGTTTTTGCCAGGTAGCTACCCGGTTATCCATACCGGGGAAGGCCAGGGTAAGCAGTATGAAAAGTCCGAGGGCAGCAATTCCGCCACCAACAATGTAAAGGAGGTTTTTAATGGGATACCCACCGATAAAAAGAACCACCATGCTGATGCCAAAGACCAGGGCAGCGGTACTAAAGTTGGACGGAAGTATGAGCGCGCAAACCGCAAAAATGGGTAGAAGCAAAGGCACAAAAGATTGCTTGAAACTTTTGATCTTTTCCGAAGCGGTTTTGGCGAGGTAGCGCGAGATGTAGATCATCAGTACTACGCTGGCAAAGGCCGAAGTTTGAAAGGTCCAGCCCAGGAAAGGGATACGGATCCACCGGGTAGCGTTTGATACCGTATGACCCTGGAATAAAGTATAAACCAGAAGCAAAAGGGCCACGGGCATCAGTATCACCGAAATAGCTCCGAAGTGGCGGTAGTTCATGGTATGTGCGGCATACATCAGAATCAATCCCAATGTAAGGTGCACGGCATGCTTGGCCAGCATGCTAAACGTATTACCACTACCATACATAAAGGCAATATTGCTGCTTGCACTATATACCGGCATCATGGAAAATAACGCCAGTATTATTGCAATCACCCAGAGGGTTTTATCTCCTTTTATGTAGGTAAGGACCTTTGACATTACAACCTTCTTACGGCAGCTTTAAACTGACGACCACGATCTTCATAATTTTCAAAAAGATCAAAGCTTGCACAGGCTGGGCTCAGTAGTACAGCATCATTCTTAGTGCCCAGTTTATAGCTGATGCGTACTGCTTCGTCCATGTCGGCTGCATCAATCATAAAAGGAACCATCTCTTCAAATTCAGCATGCAGTTTAGTATTATCTGCACCCAGGCATACAATAGCTTTCACTTTTTCCTTAACCAGCTTATGCAGCTGACTGTAGTCGTTACCCTTATCCACACCTCCTACTATCCAGATGGTTGGTTTTTGCATACTCTCCATAGCGTACCAGGTAGAGTTTACATTAGTGGCCTTGCTGTCATTGATAAACTCAATGCCGTATACCTGTAATACAGGCTCCAGGCGATGTTCAATGCTTTCAAATCCGGCCAGGCTTTCACGGATCACTTCCTTGCGAATGCCCAGTAGTTTTCCGGCCAGACCGGCAGCCATACTGTTGTAGGCGTTGTGTTTGCCCTGCAGGGCCAATTCATTAATACTCATTGCTTCCTGGTTTTTAAGGTTTATATGAATGTGTTTTTGTTCGTTAGTAAAGGCACCTTCTTCCAGCTGTTTTTCAAGACTGATGGGTAAAAGATGACTTTGGGGTTTGTACTGATCCAGATAATTGAGGGTTTCAGCATCATCGGTATTGTATATGAAGTAATCGTCCTTCCCCTGGTAGCGGCCAATGGCAAACTTGCTTTGGGCGTAGTTTTCCATTTTGTACTCATAGCGATCCAGATGATCAGGCGTGATGTTGGTCAATATGGCAATGTGCGGTTTAAAGGAGGTGATGTCATCCAGCTGGAAGCTACTCACTTCAAGTACGTAGTAATCGTGATCTTTTTCCGCAACGGAAGCGGCAAAACTGTCGCCAATATTACCTACCATGGCTACATCCAGCTTAGCCTTTTTCAGGATATGATTGGTAAGCATGGTGGTGGTGGTTTTTCCATTACTGCCGGTAATGGCTACCACTTTACCCTTACAAAAGCGGTAAGCCCATTCCACTTCTGATATAATAGGAATATTCTTGCTGCGCAGGCTTTTTACTATGGTCGCCTTTTCCGGAATACCAGGGCTTTTGATCACCAGGCCGGCTTTGAAGATGTGATCGTCAGTATGACCGCCTTCCTCAAAATCAATGGCTTCCTCTTGCAGGCGGTGTTTGTATTTGTCTTTTAAAGCACCACCATCCGACAGGAAAACAGAGTATCCATTTCGCTTAGCCAGCAAAGCAGCACCATAGCCGCTTTCGCCACCACCTAAAACTACTATGTGATCTTTAGTGCTCACGTTTAGCGTAGTTTAAGGGTTACAAAAGTTAATACTGCCAGGAATATCCCAATGATCCAAAAGCGGGTCACAATCTTACTCTCGTTAAAACCCAGCTTCTGGTAGTGGTGGTGCAGGGGTGACATTTTGAAAATGCGCCTGCCTTGCCCGAATTTCTTTTTGGTGTACTTGAAATAACTCACCTGCATGATCACAGAAAGATTCTCCACTACAAATACACCACATACAATGGGGATGAGCAGTTCTTTGCGAATGGCAATGGCAAACACCGCTATTATACCTCCAAGGCTGAGACTCCCGGTGTCGCCCATAAAAACCTGGGCGGGGTAGGCGTTGTACCACAGGAAACCCACACAAGCCCCCACAAAAGCGGCAATAAACACCACCAGTTCACCGGTGTTGGGGATGTACATAATGTTGAGGTAGTCTGCGAAAATGATACTACCGGATACGTAAGCAAATATGCCCAGTGTAATGCCGATAATAGCTGAAGTGCCAGTGGCTAAACCATCGATGCCATCCGTGAGATTGGCTCCGTTGGATACTGCGGTTATAATAAAGATAACAAAGGGGATAAAGATGACCCACGCCCAGTCCCGGTAATCAGGGCCTATCCATTTCAATAACATGGAGTAATCAAACTCATTGTTCTTGAAGAAGGGTATGGTGGTAGTGGTAGACTTTTCAGCTTCACCGTATATGGGTAAACGAGCGTTGCGTTCCACCTGCATCTCTTCCAGTTGTGCTTCATTGGTAATGCGTTCTTTTATGGTTACATCAGGGTGGAAATACAGGATGGTGCCTACGATAACCCCTAAACCCACTTGCCCGGCTATTTTGAATTTTCCGGCCAGACCTTCCTTATTCTTTTTAAACACTTTGATGTAATCGTCTACAAAACCGATCATTCCTGTCCAGATGGTGGTGATGATCAGAAGGATGATGTAAATATTTTCCAGCTTGGCGAAAAGCAATACCGGTATCAATATCCCGGAAAGGATCATCAAACCTCCCATGGTGGGGGTTCCGGCTTTCTGCGCCTGACCTTCTAATCCAAGGTCACGAATGGTCTCACCTACCTGTTTGGCGTGCAAATAGCGAATGATGGATTTACCAAATACCATACAGATGATGAGGGAGAATATAATGGACATGGCCGCCCGGAAGGTGATGAACTGGAATACTCCGGCACCAGGCAGGTCATAAGTTTGATCGAGATATGTAAAGAGGTAGTACAGCATCAGTTGGCAGTTGGCGTTAAAAATTCACGGGCTATTTGCATATCATCAAAGGGATGGCGTTCCCCGTTGATCTCCTGGTATTTTTCATGGCCTTTGCCGGCAATGAGAATAATATCGCCCTTACGTGCCATACGGCTGGCGGTTTTAATGGCCTCTTTGCGGTTGGTTATGCTGAGGTATTTGCGTTGCTGGTGTACTTCCACACCGGCTTCCATATCTTTTATAATAGTCTCGGGATCTTCAGAGCGAGGATTGTCAGAAGTGAAGATCACCTGGTTGCTGTACTCGGTGGCAATCTTAGCCATTTCCGGTCTTTTGCCTTTATCGCGATCACCTCCGCAACCGATCACCGTAAACAGGGTTTCATTCCCTCCCCTGATCTTCTGGATGGTTTCCAGTACGTTTTGGAGTGCGTCAGGCGTATGAGCATA